CGTCTCCAAGTGATCTAGTCGAGCCTCAAATATGCGAACCTCGTCAACTGTTGCACCATTATGATTTGGGGCCGGGTGTTTATATAAACATTATTAGCATAATTTAAATAAATTTGACACCTTAATATAAACTAAGCACCGGTGTTAATCAACCAATTGAGAGATGAAAGCCTGTTTATTTTAACTTGTGACACAAGTTATTCCTATATACTAGCCTCTTTTTTGGAACAGAATCTGATATAATAAAATATGTCCATCACAATATTGTCATTTATTTTTTCATATGTATATTTATCACATAATTCGATTGTTCCAATACTATTTAAAGAAACTTAAATTTGCATTTTTTTTTAATTTTTTATCAATACTCCGAATGTGGGTAAATATCCAGATAGTACTTTCAAATTTAATTTAATGATGGTCTTACAAATTAAGATTTTTTATTTGAATAAGACTGTTAGAGATAGAATTCTCTTATTGCATATATATATATATATATATATATGCACTGAAGTTACTTAGAAAATGTGATTAAATAATCAAATTGATCAGGTGTTCATCATATATAAGGTAATGAATTACTCACTAAACTTAAAAGTGTTTTAAAGTATCAACTGAACATTGTCCGTTTGCATTACATCCATCTGTTGGAATAATTAATAATTCAATATGTGGACGTTACATTCGATTGCAAAATTATACAGGTTAGATATATGACTCATAATGATTATTGTGTTTGGGTCAAATTTAAGTAATCAATTGAGCCTTTTACACCTTACGGGTTGTAATTAATTTGATGTGGTAATTTAAAGTATGTGGGCCGAAAATAAACTCTAGAATTCTAGTCGTAATGGGACAACTCAAATTATTTTCTATATATAAAGGCCAGGTCCCCTCTCCTCTCTATATATGTTTTCATTAGCTTGCCCTATTAATAGCTAATACTTTTGTGAGGAGCAAGAAGGGGAAGATATTGCTGCTAATACAATTACAACTATTATTCATATCAAGAATGACTTCCGCAGATATAAATTTAGTTTATTAATTTATTATTTGGTGATTCTTAATTCTTAGCATGTTATTCATTAAATCTAACACCATCATCCATCAGATTTTGTTCCCCTCATTGTTGACATGTAAAACAAAAATATCACATGACAAGTTACGACAATTAAAAAAATTACAATTGAATCAAACCATCCAAGTAAAATGTTTTATTACTCATCCAATTTATACTATGATTATGAGTTAATAAATTTCAAAATCTTCCCAATGATCACTCGTCTTTGAGAGTTGTTCTCCACCCATCATCCGTTATATTCACTTCCATTCGCTGTTGATGTGTCACACAAAAATTCATGTGACAAGTTACTGGCATTAAATAAAATTAAAACTTCAGGGTATCCAGCTTCCCGAAATAACCATAAGTAAAACACAACTTTCACGGCTCCATAGATTACTTTAAGTCCAATTGTTCATCCTCAATTTTAGTCTCAGACTTTAGCCCTCAATTTACTCATCTCACATATGTACATCTAAATTATGTACTGAGACATGATTGATTATTGAGAAGGATGTGAGAAATTACTAATAAAGCAGTATCTCCAATTTTACATCTGTCTGACATCTCTCTAATCCAATCCTCCATTTTTTAGGTGCATGTCCAACTATTTGAGAAAGAAATTGTCATCAAAATCAAATGATCGGAGGACACAAGCTTGCAAAAATGGAGGATTGAAATTAAAGAGAATCCATTCAGATGGTACTGTTGGGGAATATGACGTTATAAGTAGTAGTTTCTCGCATTCTTTTCAACAATCGATCTTGTCTCTATACAAATTTAGTTGTATATGGTTGAGATGAGTGAAATGGAGGCTATGGGTTTTTTTTTTTTTTTTTTTTTTTTTTTTTTGGACATATGACAATTTGGATGAGTTAGATAACTTGGCACGTGAGATTTTTTTGCGGAAATCCCTCAATAAATCTTGATTCCGAGCTCATAAAACAATTAAACGAACACCGATTTATCTCGGCTCAACCCAAGACTTTCGCTTTACCTTTGGACAACCCTCTTTGCCTCTCCTGTGGCTCTATATTTAGTGTCCACAAAGGACACGCGATGGTGACTACAATGGAAGAAAGAATGGACAACAATGGTGGAAAATCTCTTTCCCTTTTTCCCCAAGACTGGTTGCCCCCTTTCACTCACTATTGCACGTTCAATCACCCACATAGAAAACTGTTGGAATAGATGGATATATATAGATATAGTTTAGGTCACTCCAATTGGGCTTGTGGTTCACTAAGTGGGCTACCAATTAACCTAAACTAATGGGCCAATTTTCAACTTCATATTACTCACTAAATGGTCCAACTAACCAAATAATCATCCAACCCAAACCCGGGCCATCCAAAAGTATAGTTAGTCTCCGAGCCGAGCCAAGTCCATGGTGTCAATAAATAATCCGACAACTGTTTTAAATCATCGTCTGGATTATTGGGTATCAAAAAAACCCAACAGATTTTCTTACAACATGTCAGCAACGAAGGGAATTAAATTTGACTGATGATGGATGGAATGCAACTCTTAAAGATGAGTGACCATTGAGAAGTATTTTGAAATTTGATAAGTAAACCATGACTATAGTATAAGTTGCATGAGTAATGAAGTATATATTTTACTTGGATGATTTGGTTGAGTTGCAATTTTTTTAATAATCGTAACTTGCCACATAAGATTTTTGTTTAATATGTTGAACGGAATCTGACGGATGATGAATGAAGTGTAAACGAACAAAGTTTAGTAAATATTATGAAATATTTTAAAGTTTAATGAGTAACCCATGATCGAGTTGGGTGATTATCAAAACTTGTAAATTAAATTTATTAGATTCTTTGAGAATACATCTACAACACGCACCTTCAACAACTATAAAACTATGATGCGCTAATATCAGTACAAATTAATACGAATAATATAAATACTTGGATTAATCTAGTGGTACATTGGGGGATCCATAATGGTGTCCAAAATGGACACATGGAGCCCCCCTATTGGAGAGGTGTCGGGCGGGGCCGGCGCCCCTCCAGTAGGGGGATCCATGTGTCGATTTTGGACACCATTATGGATCCCCGAATGTACCCATAGCATGACCCTAAATACTTTGTGAAACAAATATAAAAAGAGTAGAAAAAATTTGTTCATATAATAAAATCTTCATCCCCTGTCCTTAAAGTCCAAAATTCAAGAATCTTTTGTAAATATTTTCCGCAATTCCATTTTTGCCCTTCTGGTCGCTGATTTATTTATTAGTAGTTTTCATCTTAATAGTAGATTGTAGGTCAAATTTAGAGACATTCAATAATTTGGTTCACGTGCATGCATCATATATTCATTAGGACAAGAGAATATATACAACTATCCTTTTATTGAAGAAAAATATATATTTTTTCAATTAAAGACAACAAAATATTTGATTAATTTATGTGGGTTTTCATTTTCTTCTTGCACGTGGGCACACAAAAGGGACTCTAGCCTAATAAGTAGTACCCCACATCAAATACGGTTCATAAGAAATTTAAGTCATATATTTTGATGGACCTCCTCTTGATTATTCTTAGCTGTCCATCATTGAAGTTTGTCTTCAATTATTGCATCTTTTCCTTTCAAAAATCGTACAAGGAATTGTGTTTTTCTCTCTGTAATATTAAAAAAAAAAATGTAAAAAGGCACAGAAGTTTAAAATTCTTGAGGGAGACATAAAATTATTGATAATTAAATAATTAATTACTATAAAATTGTCCTGTAAAAACCTTTAAACCTTACATTTTATGACGATGACAATGAAATTGCATGATCAAATGATTACGTCACACACGCATCGATTTTTTATATCCACTTATCAACAATGCTGTGTACTATGATAGCGAGAGTAATTCATTTTTTTATGAGAAAACAAATAAAAGTTAGAAAACAACCGAAACATTGAAATTGTTTTCCCTTTTATATCTCTTTTTAAGTATATATCAGCATTATAATGTGTGGGAGGGACCCTCTTCTTCTGTTCACCCACAAGTAGTAAAAGTTATGCCACACAGTGCGTGCTCACTTGGTATCCACACACTAAAATTTCGGTTCTTTTTGGAAATTTTATAATCTTCAATGAATTAGATATAGTCCAGATTACTTAGGTTTAGTGGGAATTAATTCTTGACAATGCCGGTGCTATTCAAGAAAATTACAGGATATTGAGTTTACGAGCCTCTATGCTTATAATTTTTTATAACGGAATTAATGATTGACCATTCGAGCAAAATTATGAAATGTAGCAAGCGATACTCATGGTAAGTCCATATAAAGTTCAAGTAACACCAATACTTTTTGTGTACATGTCAACAAAGGGAGACAACTATGATTAACTTTCATGAGCATTTTTGCTGAGAGAGAATTGACTTAAAAGACTAAAAGGTGAAAGCTATACATCCCCACCTGTAAGAGACAATGATTGACCTCCATTTTAAGAGAAAATTAATGATTCCTTGAAGAATAGCACTTTATGGGCTTTCCATTCGTTGTACATTTTGGATAGGGTTAGTACTGAAAGAGATTGGTGGTGTACCCAAGTTAAAAAGTTGCATATAGTCACTGTCTTGAAATGATTTTCTTAGGCAGAACAGGTAGATATTTGAGGTGGTTACCAACTGTAAAACCTGAAAAGTAACAAGAATTTTAACTATTCAACACGTTCCTTCTTGTGTAGTGTGTGACATCTCTCTCTCTCTCTCTCTCTCACACTCTCTTTTTCCTCTTTTTTTTTTTTTTTTTTTTTTTTTTTGGGGTACTTGCACAATTTCTCAACATGGGAGTCGAGACATGTGCATGTGGATTGCTATCTGCTCTAATACGTTGAACCACTCGAATTAAAAACTGGAGCAGGGACAAGTTCATTTATTTGAAAATCCGGAAGAATAAATGAAAACTCTATGGATTGAACTTCGTGGAGAAGAAAAACTAAACAAGACTTTATATTTTAATAAACCATACACAAACAGATGAACTGAAATTGAAACAGGAACAAGTTCTTCTATCAAAATACTGGTATCAAGAAGCTTAGAAGTCCATGTATATAGTTCCATGCTTTTTTCTTCTCACTTCGATCAATTAGCAATAATTTTTTGTAGACTTCTGAAAACCTGTTTCATTTAACATAGCAAGGAAATTTTGAATCATGTGTAGAGGACCCTTTACATGTACGGCCTATTGTTCATGCAATTTAGGACCCTCATTTTGGTCAACGGGCTGCGGAAGCTCTTAATCGAGGGGTGGTCTCGGCCCTGTGAATATCACTTACTCGGTATTTTTACAAAATAAGAATCAAACTCTATAATAAGCACATGCCTGTTGAATTAGCAGCCTTTGGGGAGTTGAAAAATAACCTAAGAAAACTGTCCAAATGAGGCAGGAAGCATTTGAAAATGCTTGCTGTATATTTCTGCAGATTGTAATGGTTTTTGCAGCTGATTTGAATGCCAGTTATCAGAACTTACTGAATCTTCTGTTGCAAAATGTGTTTGATTCTGAATAGAATTGTCCAGTAAAACTGGAGTCTGGAGATACTCATTCCACTTGATATCTTGTGGAATATCATCTTCCGATGAATGAATATGAGATTCTAATTTCTCTGATTTTCCCCTTCCCCATGAAAAAATATTATTCTCAAAGAAATCCATATTCTGAAACTTGTTTAAACCGAAAGGGCTTATGGAATTATCTAAAGGCGGATTCATGGTAGGCTTTATAATCGTTGATGGCTCAACAATCAAGGGGAGAACTGGGTTCGAAGACATTGAAGAAGTGGTGGAATTTGAATTGAAATACAAATTTGTTGTGTTGGGACCATAACTTAAGTGCTGGAAAGAGAGAAGCCCTGGCAAATCAGAATTCCTACAACTTGTGGTTGAGGTTTCATGGCTAGCAACGAACCTGTTGAGGAAAAATTCATGGTCGAAGCCAACAGAAGATGGATTTCCTTTATCATCTGCTGCAATTCCTCAACTTCAGAAAGTGGTTTGTGTGTATTAGGGTCAATCCCTTTTTGCCTCAGTTTTTTCTTAATGGAAGAATTCCAAAGATTTTTTATTTCATTATCTGTTCTTCCAGGCAATTGAGCTGCAATCTGAGACCACCTGATTGTAGAAAATCAACACTCTCGTGATCACCAAAAACGACATATTTGATACACAGTATTGCAATAGGAATAGACAATATTCTGACACCATAATGTCCAGTACACCTGAGGGAACATGCCAGTCTATGATTGTAATGGTGCTGTAAATACAATTAAATTACCTGTTGCCTAGAACTGCATGCAGTTCAATTATCAAATTTTCTTCCTCCGGTGAAAATGTCCCTCTTTTCAAATCGGGCCTCAAGTAATTGATCCACCTTAATCTGCAGCTCTTTCCACATCTTTGAAGACCTTCACAAAATATCAAAAAATATGAGAAAATTTAACAGAAGGGTTTTAATGAACTGGCTTAGACTAGCTCTTTTTTTCAAGGAAAATCGACTGGAGTTCTTTTTGTTTCACCAACAAGTTTAAAATTGAAATCTTGCTAGTGGTAATTAGTCTTAAAATTTCAAATATTAAACTCCCGAGGCAGGATATGTAACACGTTAGCCAAAATGACTTAAGGAATATACACTTACCGGCTAGTTTGGGAACTGAGCTCCAGCAGCCATGTCCATGTTTTGTTATGTGGTGTATAAGTTTCTCATCTTCCTCCGGAGACCAAAGCCCTTTTCTTAACTTCTGCTTATAACAGCAAGAATGCCTTCCCATGTGCAGTGCAATGCTGGCAATTGCAAAAACAAAATGATTCACAAAATTCTTTGTAGAAAGACTCCCTCAACTGCCAGCAGAGAGGAAGTTGCAGAGAGAGAGAGAAAGAGTTCTTCCAAAATGAGATGGCATTATGGAATCAAATTAATATATAGAGAATTTCTAAAATGAAGGTCACATCAGAATTCGGGAACTAGTTCCATTTGCTGTTATAAATTAATCAAAATTTAAGTAATGAATGAAATGGGATTGCTTTTTAATTAAAATATTTACTCTCCTATGTATGTTTTATCAAAAGGGTTGTGAGAAAATAATGAGATTGACAGTTTGGTGGGGGGTATAATGACAGATATTTATTTATATTGATGAAATCAGTCCACACATTATTATCAAGTTTTATATGAGATTAAGACCTTTAGAGTTCGCATTAAGCTTCAAGAAACACCTCATATGGCTCAAATTATGCCAATAAGATTCCCCACAAAAGTAGGTAAAATATAATTTCCCATGATTAGTTATGTCTAGCAATTAACTAGTGATTAATTAAGTATATTATTTAGAGTTAGACACCCTCTTGTCCTTATATACAGAGTTGAATAATCTATTCTTCAGTGACCATTATGCCAGCTGGTTTTGTAATTTTTCTGCTTCATTTAATATAAAAAATCAGCTCAAATTCATTTGAAGAACTATATCACAATATTTTCTTTGGACCACCAAGATTTTGGTTATTCATATTCTTTTATTTATATCTTGTATCTTTAATACATTGTATTAAACATGATAATTGACATATACTATTATATGTTTTGCCTCTTGTTATTATTTTTTCTATTCAATCGACGTACCAAACATACATTTAAAATATAGTTTGACTCAATTTATTTACCTTTTCCAAGCGTGAAATTTTTCTTCAAACCTCCTAGATTGGACAAGCTAATTTGTTACATTCAAGTTAAATAACTCATCCCGATTTTGAAAATTATATATGACTCGATAGTACTTGTCCAGTTTTGGTTCTAAGTAAATTAACTTGATATACAATTTTACATAAATTGATACACTTTTGCAATGTCAAACACAAAGCATGAAAATAAAACCATAAAATGTAGACCATATTTTACCATTTACAATTTACTTCTAAAGCATAAAAAGAACGATTTCATGTTGAATTCTTGTTGTCACCGAATTCCATCCAGCTCTCATTCAATTGAGCCAACTCAAATCATGTCTAGCCTTACTCCAGAACAAACTTTATCTTGTATTTTTACTCTTTTTTTCAATTTACATGACCGCATTCTGCCAACTAACCAATCCCCTAATATAATAGAAGAATTAATCAAATAAAATTCTCGATTATCCATTATCCATGATTGATATCTAGATTTATTTATTGCACTATTTTTCCAAGAAAGAAAAATGTCCAACCTGTCTATGGTTCTATGTGAGTTTGAACAAAAATGATTGGAGTAAATTTGCTTATGAAAACACAGCCGACAATACAATAATGCACTTGTCTGCTTGTACATTCACATACGTATATTTGCCACTAGAATACTGACAAAAAATTTCAACTATCTAAAATTCTAAAAATATTAAATTAAAGAATATATATTAATTATTGACCTTTTAAATTAATGGGCTCTTAGGAAAATATAAAATTCCTAAATAAGAATCTTTTTGTACAGTTCGTGACAAGTTTAGATAGAAAGATACAAAAAATATATAAAAATAGAGGTGATTTTTATTTAATAATTCACTTGAAGTAGACTAAGAAAAATGGTGCTTGTCCATTTATATTATATGGTTTTTTTATTGTAATGTTATTTTCATTTTAGTGCTTATCATGTGGTGACTCAATTACCCTAAATGGTTTAATACTTTCAGAATTAATTTGTGGGGGAAATAAAGAAATTAATGATTTTACGAGCTGATTAAGATATCATAATAAATGTGCTATTTCAATTAAATAATAAGTATTTTCTTTCAATTTTCACGTCATTAAATAGAAATTGTCTGCCCTGCTTAAATTCTAACATGACAATACACGTGGACTCTCTTGCAAGAAAAGCTGGTGAATACGACCAATTATGCACCCCGAAAGATGCATAAAAGTAAAATGGAAATAAAAAAAGAAGAAATAATAATAATAAAAATAATAAATTAAAAAGTGTCTAGATTCAAATTCCTTAATTACCGTTGATATATATTTGTTTACTTTGTGGGTTTTATTGTTATTTAGTTTTCTTATTATAATATATTTGTTATAATTTTTTTTAGTTTACTGTTTAAAATCTTATGGTACACTCTAAAAATCTCTACATTAAATAGAAAATAGACTAATTAAATTAATCCGGTTTTATTCTTTTTTTTTTTTAGTCGAATATAGTCATTTCTAATTTGAAATAAATATGTAAAGGCACATATGAATCTTGTGTGTATAAAATTGTGCGTTTATGGGTTAAACCTTATGATTATTAGAAACTCGGATTTGGTTTAAAGTTTTGAGAATACACTGAAAGTAAGGTGACCTCTTCTGCGTCTTATATACTTAGATGTATGAGTTTTATTTATTTTTGTATTTTAAAATTAAATATTTATATTATTTTCAAGGTTTGAGATTTGCTGTGTTTCTTGAAACTTATTTGTAATTAAAGCTGGCATATTTTTTGAATTAATTAAAGATTATAGCGTATATCTGTTCAGCATATTAGTGCTTCTCATGTGGCGAATCAATCAAGGTAAATGGCTTAAAATTAATTTGAGAGAAAAGAAAATATAAAATTCGTGTTGTAATTTAATAGGTATTGGCTTGTGATCTTTCGTTTTGTGACAATATGAATGTTCCTTGAAAATATGCCCCACAAGAAGATGCATATAATCTCCATCCCACATCATGTAATCTCGAGTCGACAATGGATAAAAAGATACTTATTCCCTTTGTTCTCTATTGCTTCACAAGTTCAATAATATTCCTTGCTTGGTTGTAATTCCCATTTTAATTAAGCAATCAAATGAACTTTCGTGGTTTTCTTTTTTTCTTTTATTTATTTATTTATTTTTTTTCCGAAGGGGTGTGGGGAAGACTTGGGAATGCCAGAATGTGTCACGGGTAAATAATCAAAAGCCTAGTTGAGGCATAAGCAATTTTGTCATTTGGAGTTGGTCCTAGAGTCGGGTTTTTGTGGATTTTATAATCATAGGTACCTCGAATTTAAAAATGAAAAAGAAATATACAGTTGAGCAAATAATATACAGTAGTATTGGTCAAATAGTTTTAGATGTGCATAGTTGAGTTACCTTAATTTTATTTAACGAAAGAATGTTATTATTACTTAGTTTCATCTGGAATAACTAGTAAATTGATGAACTCAAGAATTCTTATATTGCTAAAAGACAAAGTTAAAAGGTCAATGTGAAACATTTGACATATTATGAAGCTAGTAGAAAGATGAACCGTTTTGCATGATAAATCACTTGCGCGAAATTGCTGCATTCGTCCATAAATAATTGTTGCAAAGATGAAATAACAACTGAAATTCTATGTTGAGTAGTTTGAGGAAAAGCACAACTGTACTTGTTTCTCTTTTCACTTGTACACTGAATGTAACCCCGATATAGATTAATGTAACAATCATGATTGGTGTACAATATTTTTTACAATATTATTGAAAACATGCCACTTGACACGTTTTCGTTGGAAAGTTTAAAAAATAATTTATCTTTCCAACCAAATTTTTTTTTTATACATACAATATTGTCAACAATGTTGTAAAAAATTATTGTACAAATAGCATTATCCTTAGTATAATATTCTACATTTCTCATTTGCAAAATAGTTTTATCTTAAATTCTGATATTTACTGATAAGCATGTCGAACTTAGCCGAACGTGTTCACATATAGATGGTATATCAAAATCAATACTAAGTAGTTTCTAACAATCACCATTGATCTTTTAATAGATTGAACGATAAGTCAACAACGTGAAGAAAAAATATTTGATTCAAAACTCAATAAGTTGTTTTTACCAACATAATACTAAGGCTGTCCCTTGCCTCGTTCGGGTTCTTAGTTAGAGGTCAACTCCCACCATCAGGTTCACTACTAGGGCATATGTTCATGCATATATTTTTGTAGTTTTCAATACCCTAATTCAAATAAATGAAAAATAATCTAATAATATCCCCAAATTAAGTTGAAAGTAATCCAAACTAGAGTTGGTAGAATATTTGTGCATTTCTATAAGAAGATTGATTAGCTGGGTTCATGTAGGCAGGAAGAATAATGCTACAAGAACTTTCAAGGTATTAAAATATGTGGTCCCAATTTTTCAATAGCCAGATTTTTTGATATGTTTCCAAAAGTATAAAGACATTATTATTATAATAAGATAAACATTTTAAGTATTATGGAATTAATAATAGGATTTTATTTATTTCTATAAAGAGCGTTTCATCACATCTTGAGCATATGTATAAACCGCTTTCCGATTGATGAATGACAATGTATATAATTAGATTGATGAGTAATACAAAATCTAATGATTATTAGAGAAGACACTATTTTTCATAATGAACGAGAAATTAGTTGTCTACAACCGTAGAATAAAAGATTGAGACTCTAATATATCAATTGAGGTATCCAATTTGTCTTGGCCTTGACGAGAGAATCTCGAAAGCAATGACTATTATACTTGTTATATCCGAAAGTGTAGTGGACATAATCATTTTGTACAAAAATTTGAGTTTATGCATGATCCTACCATAGAGAATAAAACTCTACTTTGACTTCTTTATGATTTACCTTAATCCACTAAAGATTAATAGTTGCTATTTGTAAATTCTAGTGTCTTTGATATGCATGCGAGTGAAATTTAATTACCATGTCAAATACCTCAATGCATTGGGAACCAAAGGTAAGCCAAGAAGTATAAGAATATTCATGTTTGGAATCTGTCTTTCGATTCAAAGGGTTAAAGAGTTTACGTAAGTATTTTCTTGTTATCAATTTTAATCTGAGCTCAAATACCTCGATGCATTTCAAACCAATTAATAAAAAGGCCAGCTCATATTATTGATGGTGCTCAGGATGTGTAATTTGGAGGACGGATCTT